ATATGCGATCTTACTTCTGTCTCATTTCCCGTATGAGATTCCTAACAAAAATTTTATTTGTGTGTGTTTTTCTCTTTTGGTGCAGAGATACTCAACAGAGTTTGTTCACGGTTCTTGGAGCAATTTACGGCGCTGTGCTCTTCTTAGGGATAAACAATTGTTCATCAGCTCTTCAATATTTCGAAACAGAGCGAAATGTTATGTACCGTGAAAGATTTGCGGGGATGTATTCAGCGACTGCTTATGCCTTGGGACAAGTTGTGGCTGAAATACCTTATCTATTCATACAAGCAGCCGAGTTTGTGATCATAACATATCCAATGATCGGTTTTTATCCTTCGACATATAAAATATTTTGGTCAATCTACTCTATGTTCACCTCTCTTCTCACTTTCAACTACCTCGCGATGTTCCTCATATCCATCACACCAAACTTCATGGTTGCCGCGATTCTACAATCGCTCTTCTATGTTAATTTCAACCTCTTCGCCGGTTTTTTGATCCCTGAGACGGTAAGCTCAATGCTCTATTATCTTTAACAAGTATATAAAAATCTTTACTTAAAGAAAAAAAGGTTGATAATGTGTTGTTTGGTTTTGAAAATCTGCAGCAAGTTCCAAAGTGGTGGATTTGGTTATATTATCTAACTCCAACTTCTTGGACACTGAATGGATTTTTCTCGTCTCAATACGGCGATATTCATGAAGAGATCAATGTCTTTGGAGAATCCACGACGGTTGCAAGATTCTTAGAAAATTATTTCGGATTTCATCATGAACGTTTGGCGGTCACGGCAGTTGTTCAAATCGCTTTTCCGATTTTGTTGGCTTCTATGTTTGCATTCTTTGTGGGGAAACTCAACTTCCAAAGAAGATGATGATAATGATCAAGCCAATTAATCTTCATCTATTTAGAATAAACAAATAATGCTTTTTTGTGTGAAATAAACATAACTTTTTTTGCTTGCTGTATGTATATGATTTTGAAGAAAGAAAACAAATTGTCTTTCAATTAAGTAGTAAATATTTAACGTATGCTTTTAGAGGAAATCTTTGTTTTTTAAAACATATGCAAGGGAATTACAGTTCTGAACTTTTGATCATGATGCTAAGATAACCAAATCTCAATAAAAAACCGAGAAAATCTTGATATAACCAAAGTGTAGAAAGAGACTCCTACTATTCGGGGCATGCCAAATTTTGTTTTCAAGTTATCGCCCAAAGTGTTAGAAACTTGGTCTTCAAAAATTGTCTTTCAGAATACTTGAAAGTTTGTTTTCAAACTTATCAATGTATCATCGTAAATTCTTTTTTTTTTTATCAGTTTGTATATGTAAGGAAGATCGTTCTGATCATTATGCTCTGTAATCATTTTTAGAATTTATATCGTAGTTTCCATTTGACGTGTCTTTACATCATCAAACCAAACCGGTCAACGCAAATGTCTTTAAATCAGCAAACCAAACCGGTCAACGCAAGAAGCTCGGTCTGTTCCTAAGTTCCTCCTATACGAAGAGGCCGGTACGCTTCTCTCGAACGCCATAGCCAAAAGCTCGACGAGATCCACCAGACTGAGAACGGTGCGTTGGTGTGCATCTTTTTCCCGTACTAAGCATCTCCTCTCAATCGAAACCCTAATCACATCTCATTCTCTTTCGATCAATCGTTAATACATTGATCGGTTTTTGATCGAGAGCGATTCGATAGAGAATCGCGATGTCAATCCGATTACCTCCAGCTTCTTGGGATTTCCGCGGTTTCGTATTATGTTTCATCTTCTTCAGCTCGTTCCCAGGTAAAAAATTGCTTCGCTTTCGAATCAAATTAATCTGATTTCGTCCTTTTTTTGTAGTTTTTGTATTTAGCTTCAATTTCGAATGTTTTCGTAGTGAAATTGGGACAAGGGTTTCGTTGTTCGTGTTGTAATAGGTGATATTATTGTTTATGATCTTCACAGGAACCATACTAGCGCAGGAAGTTACACTAGATTCGATTCAGATTTTCACAACTCACGATTGGTTCTCGACTAAGCCCACAGTGTATTTCCAATGTAAAGGAGAGAACAAGACTGTGTTTCCTGATGTGAAGAAAACGAATGTTTCTTATTCTTTCAAAGGCGAAGAATCTTGGCAGGTTTGTCTTCTTTCCAAATGTAAATCAATCTTGAGATAGCTGGTTTATTGCTGATTTTGGTTTGATTATGTTATTGGACTTTGTAGCTCTAGCAAGAATTTCGATGTTGTTTGGTTAGTTTGATCTTAAACCAGGAATAAAGGAGCTGAATTTCCCCTAGTTCTTAGCTATTTACTGATTTCCTAGGGATTTTGGTAGGGTTATTCAGGAATTTTGGATCTCAGGATTACCTTTTGATTATACCGGATCACTTCGTTTTTGGTGTGGAAAGAAACTGCACTGCTCCCTTCCCTTATAGAGGGCGATTAGATCAAATCATTGTTAGAGTTTCCTTCTTCTGTGAAATGTAGCGAACCCGCACGCAAATAGGTTTATCTTATGTTGATGGTTATTGTTATCATCACTGTCTTTGAGCGCTATGTTCTGGTTTCGATATTTTCAGCCATTAACTGAACTTAAAGGAACAAAATGCAAGAGATGTGGTATATATGAAAAAGACGCCCTGTCGAGTGATACATTTGATGAGTGGGAGCTTTGTCCTTCTGATTTCACAGCTGACGGTAAATACACACACGCCAAGGAGAAAGAATTCAATGCTACTTTTCTCTGCCATGGATGTTCACAAGTCGGAGATGGTGAGCTACTGCAAGCAGAACATCTTTAGTTTAGGGTCATTCATTACATGAATAATGTTTCCTTCAACTAGAACCAAACTCTCCCATGTGTCTCTGTTGGTTCTAGCTTCACAGTTGAATTCTGTTCTCGAGAAGAATGTGATTGATATATCATATGCTTGCTTTTCTCTTTTGCAGGTCCGAATAAAGAATCCGGCGCTGTGAAGAAAGAAGAACAACACGGAATGCGTCCTGCAATTGTGGTACTGATTGTAGTACTTGTGCTAGGTGTAGTTGCAGTGGGACTTGTGGTAGGTTATAAGTATTGGCGAAAGAAGAAGCGGCAACAAGAGCAGGCTCGGTTTCTAAAACTGTTTGAAGATGGTGACGAAAATGAGGACGAGCTTGGCCTTGAAGATACCCTATGAAGCTAAGGCCAATGTGGCCTAGTAACTGAATTACTGTAACTCAATGTCACCTCTGTGTACATACATAGTTTCTTGATCAGTCTCACAAACATTTTGTTTTGGTCTGATATAGAGGAGAAAAAGGAATCACAGTGATCACCATACAAAGTTACAAACATTTGCTTCATCAAAAGACAATCAATGCCTTTTTGTTTCTTTTGTCGTAAATGCTTGGCAATACAATTAAAGAGGCTAAAAGAATTTAAGCTGCCATTTTCATCAACATTTTTTTGACATTTGCGAAAATAAAATATTTTTATTCTTCAAAGAGTCTACAAAGGAGAAGAATCTTATAAATGTCTATACCAAACAAATTAATGAAAGATAACAGAGTTTGAAAGTTGTCATATAACAAACCAAAATGTCATCAAAGAAAGCAAATCAAGCATTAGTCACGCAACGAGAAGGAAAAAATCATGCAGAAAGAAAGGGGAAGGAACAACATTTATTGGTACATAATGCTACATTGAGCTTAACCTGTTGGGGCAAGGAGACATCAAGGTGACTCACTGCCTTTAGGAGAAGAACGGTTAAGCTCGGACTCATCATCAATGGGACTCCTGTCTTGACCATTAAGCCCAATGGGACTTTCTTCACCTCCCACAATGGGACTCGCAGAGTTCCTGCCATTACCATTCTCTTTTGGGCTACCTTCATAGTCTGATCCCTCTTGCTTCTCATGCTTTGGGCTTGCATCTATGACTCTTCGGTCTGGACTCATGCTTTGGTCTTTGCCTTTGGGAGATACGGATCTCCCCATTGCCTTAGGACTGCGGGATCTATCCTCCACGCTTCTCTCTCTTCTCACTGGCGAGCGTGATCGACTGATGAAAAGAAAAGTAAAGAGTCAGCCAAAGAGCATCGGCTGAATAGAAAAAAAGACCAATAACTTCATGCAGAAATAGCATTGTCATTAGTTTAGTGCATCTCTCTTATTCAGTACTTATATATATAACCAACGAATCTCAGAACCATTTCTACTTTGCTAAGAACATTGTTGTCTAGTGCATGCTTAAGGCTCAAACTAAACACAATTTCAGACAAACCTCAGAATCATTAAAAGCTTACTACCAACAAAATCAGCATCGTCAGGTTAAGTTTTAGGCCCCTATCTTATATTCTATAACCAAACAACTCTCAGAAGGTAAAATAATTATCTAATGCATGCTTTAAAGGCTCACACTAACACAAGTTTTCAAAACTCAAAATTTATCACTAACCTGTAGCTACGACCTCGACTGTAACTACGGCTATGGCTTGGGCTTCTTCTGCGGCGAGGGGAGCGCGACTTAACTGGTGACCTAGAGTAGTTTCCACCTCTGAAGTATTACAATCCAAATGGTTTATCAGAAGAAGCTTACAGGATAAAAGAAACTGTGCAAAAACAAGGATTTTAAAATACAAGTACCTGGCCTTCTTTGGACTAGGACTGTTTTTGCAATTTCTCTCAATGTGTCCTCTTTCTCCACATCGGTAACATTTGTTTTTCCAGTCTCCTGCTGTGCAGTCTCGAGCCCAATGACCATCAACACCGCAATTAAAACAGCGACCAGAACCAGGGGGTGGACCTCTACTACCATTATCCCGAGAACCACGAGGCGCCTATCATAAATTCATGATTTTTTTTGTAAGACATTAGTATTTTTTCAACCAAAGATCAAATCAAACCAGTGGATGAACCAATAATTTAGAGAAACAAACAACTAACCCCTCTTGAAGCCTCCACACTGATACGACTTCCATCGAAATCTCGTCCATCTAAGTAATGTCTAGCATCATCAGCATCACGAGGATCGCTAAATTCCTGTTCTCAAAATGTGAGTTCAAATAGTATGATGCACACTATAAATATTGTTTACAAACATAACTAACTTTAAAAATCCAACCCTCGGATAAAGGTGAAAAGACATTATTATTATTAGTATACTTACAACAAAGGCATAATCGCGCTTCATATCCACATCTCGTATTCTGTGGAAATTGTTGCCAGAAAAATCAAGGCCATCATTACTTAAGGGTACTTCCAAACACCATTTTTCGAGAATTTGACTCCATTTCCACTAAAAACATGCAAACAAATCTACAAAGAAAATCTCCGATGCACCCTCGAATTTCCACCAATTACACCAAGTCCACCCCACTCATCATTCATCAAACATCTCCCGGTTAGGCAAACACCCCCAGAAACCTTCAACAAGATCATTCAAGTTAAGAAAAAAAAATAACACTAAACCTAAGTCGAGAATCTACCCCACATGGATGAAAGTACAAATGCAAAGTTACAAGTAGCAAAGGCAAAGAAGTAAATTAGACCCTTTAATTCAAATGTTAACTTTATCAAACGAAATCATTCCAGATTCATACCACAAAATTCAAACAAACATCTCTCCAAATACAAACAAATCAAAATATATCAATCAATGGCAAAACAAAAAAAAGATTAATAATTTTACCTTCCGTATCTGCCGAAAAGACGTTCAAGGTCTCTGGTACGAGTTCTTGATGATAAACGACCAACATACAGACGAGTGTTTGCATAACGATCATCATGACGAGGCATTCTCAAACTGCAAAAATAAAATATGTTAAGCGCATATAAATCCGTAATCAAATAAACAGAAATAAAATCTATAAGAAGAAGAAAAAAAAATCCACATCGAAGAATCAAGAAACCGATTGGAAAAATCATAATCAAGAGAACGAAGAACAACAAATCAGAACCAAATTAACATAAATTCTTCAATACCTGGAGAAACAGAGTGCGAATCGCAGTAACCCTAATTATAAAATTTCGAAACGAAGCAAGTGAACCGCGGACAAATTACTCTTGAGTAATTGACCCTTATCTCTTTATAAATGCTGAAACCGACGAGATTCAACGGTTGCGATTCGTTGTGGTTTGTTTCAATCAACGGTTTAGCTTTAACACCGCTATAAACATCATCGATGTTACCGATATAGAAAGGAAGGAAAAAAAATGCATATATAATCAAATTATTGGGCCTGATATTAACATTTTCTTAAGCCCATTAAAAGGGTTAGTTTTCCTTTTTTTCGCATTATAAAAGCCAAATCATAACAGGAAAATCAAAGATTTAGGGTTTTTTATTT